TGGAAGTAAACAACTGCAGAGATCTCATTGGATGGTGATCTTTGTCGCTGGATATCATTGGATGATAGTTGAGATCTTGCACTGGAAGGAACCCGTCCGCACTTCACCAGCCTTTTGCAGCTGCCAAACCTGGCACCAGCTTTGGAATCGGCATTCAAACACCGGTCGTCCAGACTGGGGAAGACATCGGTCCAAGGAACAGCTGCCATGAATGAAGCGCTTGTGGCTGGGAATGAACCATCCTCATTCCACACACGTTGCTGGGGCTGGGAATCACTTCCTAAGCCAAAGCTCTTCTAGAAGGACCGCTTGCTCATGGGTTTCTTTCGGCACCTCGCGAAGGCACTGGCCGAAAGCGTGGCCTGGGGGCGAACGAACAGGCACACACCATGGAATACAGTGAAACGTGGTCACGTGGTCTCTTAAAATGTGAAATGCAGCCGCTTGCTTGATTTGATTGATGTCTGTGGGCATCTCACCAGGCTTGGCTGTCACCCAAGCCACCATGCCTACAAAACTTGCAACATTTCAGTAATTATATGAATCTCATTTAGTAAAAAGGGCTCTCCAATGGTTGCCGCTGGCAAACAACATCGAATGAAATCTAGCTGAACTATCACAGGTGCCACTAAGAACGCCTTCAGCAAAATTTGCTCTACGTATCCTGAGGTTGTTGCTCATGATGTTCAGTCAAGCAGTTTTCAGGGAGTTCACAGGAGGCATAATAGGGTTAGGGGGTAGGCTTAGATGAAATCAATGAGAAAACTGTGACGGTTTGTGCTGACATCAAGAACAGTGCTCCTTTGCAACTCAGTTAAGGCTCTTCCCCAATGCTCTATTGCAATCGAATTTGTGCCCCCCCTGTCCCAAAGCAAGCCCTTAAAAGATACAGTAAACCTGAGTGAAATTGAGAGTGCCCTTTGCTGGCAACGCCCGCATTGGCGAGGTAGGATTGTGGTCTCTGGGTTTATGACGCAGCCATGCCTCCGAGACTCTATGTTGCAAAAGCCTATGCGACAGTGCGTAGTAGTTGGAGACATATCCGTGCCTTTCCCCGTGTAATGGATCAATTGCATATCTGCCACGCTGAATTTTGGGCGAGTCAATCAGCACAGCTTACAGAACCACGTGGCTACTGCCTCGCAGGTTTTCCATTTTGTTTCCAAACTTGGGTATCGAAAGAGCGTCTGGGTCTTGGACATCCCAAATAAATCTAAGTCCTCCTAGTTTTACACTGGCAGAACGTACTGACGAACGGAACGCACACACGGGCACAAACGCACGCCTCAGAAGATTTCCAACCACCGGCCCAGTGATGTCCAGAATCAAGGGGGCCGGTGCCAGGTCCCATATACCAATTGCTTGGTCCCAAGAAGAGTCTCGCCTTCCCAACCAAGGGTGCAAGTGACATCGATGAGACTTTGGGAACTCTTCTCCTGCCTTCCGCGGAGCTTTTGTTCGGTTGAAATCGAAGGGTGAAGCCTCCCTCTCGCGCCACAGTTCGAGGCCACATGGTCCGTGCTTTTGAGAACTAAGTGACAATCAACTGAACCAAAATGCCTGAAAACGCTAGGCGCCTCAGAAATCCGCTAGCCATGCACTATATGATGCAGGAAGGAACCCTTAGGCTCACATGACACATGTTTTTGCGAGTGTTCTTCAGTTCCTGACCCATGCACTCTGACAAAAATCCCACTTCTCCGCGGCAGCATTGGCGCCCATCCGAGCAAGCCCATCCGGCGCTCGAGATCCATCCCTATCGGATGAACGTCTCGTCTCCAAGTGCTGATTCAGCTGTTCCTTTCTAGACCGGATCGGCACCGGGGTCGGACACCGCCCGCCGCAAGAAAGCAGTGTCAATCTGGACGACGCATTCATCGGGGACATGTCAACGCTCTCACTTTTGCATACTCTTATACCGGGGGAATTGTACGCGATGTTGAGTGCTGCCGCACACACCTCCGTAAATGTGACCAGTTACATTGACAGTAACATGCATTGTTTGCCATGTCCACCCAAAAAGTGTCCTACTCGCACTGTTGACCTTTCCTGGATTCACAACCAATGGTTTTAAGGCTCTTGCTTCAGGTGTGGGAGGCTCTGGCCTTGCCGTTGTGCCAGGACTCCGACTTTCTTTGATTTCGATGCCTGCCGATACGTTTGATAGCGTGCCTCTTCATCACCAAAATCAGGAACATTGGTTGGTTCAGGATGTGCATCATCAGCAAGTCGCATTGATGATGTAGCTGCCAAGAAACTTGCTGGAGATTTGCCTCAGTTCCATCCTGTTTGACCCCGATGCAACAGCATTTCTTCGGTGGCACGACTCAAACAAACCAACGGGGATATCGACCACACAAAAAAGGGGGCCGCCCACCACCAGCTGAAGTTGATAACGATGTCCCGCTTCCCGACGTTGGACTGGGAGTCACATGTTGTTCATTTTGCGTGGCAGGAAGCAGTGAAGGTGCGAGCTGTCCTGTTTTCGATGTGAAGGTTGCATAAAATTGCTTTCATTTTCCTGTACTGCATCGCCCGTCCAGGACCTTCGCTGACGCTGTGACACTCTTGTGCGCCAATTAACTTCATGGAGAAACGCTAATGCCAGGCAAGCATGAGAGAGGGACCAAAAGCCACAGGTGTGGGTGCGCGGTTCCTCGCTGGGCCGTATTTGGGGCTTAATCTTTAATTATATTATATCATATTCACTTGAGGAACTTGCAGCACTGTTGTTGCTTGACTTGAAGGTGGTAGACGCACTCTCAACACCTGGCAGCAGTGCGGTCTCGAGGTTGGTGGCGCTGAATTTGTTTTTGCGGTTCTCGAAAGTTCGACTGTGGAGCCGTGTCGCCATCGGATTCAGGGCGTGAGTGGATCCGAATACTGTATTTCAATGTGGACACGCATGATGCCTGACTGAAAAGATCAAGCTTGAGCAGTTCCACAACAACAAAGAAAAACACAAACAACTTTTAGAGTCTTGTAAAAACAAGGGTTCCCCCCAGAACTTCCACTCAATGTATCACATGTATCACAGCTCGAGTGACGGATGCGATGCACTGCCCAACTGAGAGCTGAACAAACATCGTCCGGCCCCTGACGCGTCGTCGTCGTCGTCGTCGAAATGGGTGGCCAAAATGAGCAACAGCAAAACGTTTGAAACTGCACATGTGGCTGTGGGTCAAAACCCGGAGTCCGGTTGACCCTGATCCTTAGTCGTTCTTAGTCTTAGTAGTGCGTGTTCATTTTTCTTGGTCAACTAGGGTCCCGTGCGCGTTTGTTGCTCTGTCTGTCTCTGTCTCTGTGTCCCTGTGTCCCTGTGTCCCTGTCTGTCTGTCTGTCTGTCTGTCTGTCTGTCTCTCTCTCTCTCTCTCCCCCTCCCCCTCTCTATGTTTGCTTGTGCACTGTCAGGTTCTTGTTTTCTGCTTTTCATTGTTCACATTTGATCGTATTTCTTTCTTGTATGGGATCTGTGTTGTCTTTGTTTTCGGCAGCCAGTATATACGAGTATGAGAAGAATCTAGGCAAAACCAAAAGAAGCAAGAGAGAAAGTGAGTGAGCGAGAGCGAGAGAGTGTGAGCGCGAGAGAGTTGCGGGTGGCAGGCGCCCGGGACCTACTGGGTGAAGGTGAAGGAAGGAGCTAGCGAAGGGGAGTATCTATATAAAGGGGAAAAGTGGTACATGCACACAGCCCGAACATGCCAAACTGCAAAACGGCCAGAATTTCACCAAAGAGGTTGAAGAATGTTGAAGAACACATTGCAAGCTGCAATCCACAATTTCCATTTTGTGTGACCTGGGTCTAATTCTGAGAGAACACTGATCCCCACTTTCACACGCTCGACCAAGGGCTGTCGAAACACGAGCATCATAGGGCCACAAGGAGCATCCGCCATCACCAAACACCAGCCGTACCAGAATGACTGCCACCTCCTGATCTCTCGATTTCTGCTCCCAGGCCGCTCGCAGAAGACCGGTCCGAGCATCGCGGATCGAGCGCATCGCAGCGTGCCGATTTTTCCGCGCGCGTCCGGTGCCCGGTCGTTGCGAGGCTCCTGGCGCGTTGAGGTCGTGGCGACCCGTGGGAGAAGGGAGAACTGAGGGACTAGTCTCGTATGGTCTCTATGGGCAGAAAAAAAAAGAGTGGGAAGCCCAACAGATCGGAAAATGCTGAGCATGGTTGGCATGATATCATGTCAAAGCAAGGTGAAGGAGAAAGCATCAGCTTCATGAATCAACCCTCCGTATCATGTGGCTGGTTTATCCGAACCGCATTGCACTAGAATTGCAAACGATTATCACCTCTACCCACATCTGACATCCTCTTGGGTGTGCCAGAGGATAGCGGATGCTCCTCAGACAAGGCTGCTCGCTGTCCTTGAAGAGAGTCCACCAACACTGCCTGCAACCAGGCTGTGTACGCTTCAGCTCGAGTGGGTTCCAATTCAGTTGACCCTCAGACACCACGCCGTTTCGGCCGCTGAGATTTTTGCAGGCCTGGCAAGGCAGGCGTTGATCACAGGCCCATGTGAAAGCAAGCGCTGTTGTCTTGATTCAAGGCGCACAAGGACACAACAAACCAAAACACATCAACAAACATTGCATTTTGTCAACAAGATCACTGATGAACATCTACACCCCCTGACAAAAAAAACAGGGAGATCATGTGTCCTGGTGTGCTCGTGGGCCAAAGAGGTCTAAGACCAAAGGGCTCTAAGAGAACCCAAGCGGAGAGTGCACCTCAAGATGTTCTTGAGTTCTGCACATGTGCCGCGTGTCTAGGTTCTCACTCTGTTCCTTCGCTGTGCCGAAGCATTTCATACCCTGTGATGAATTCCAGGTGTTCCACTAACTATTGGGTCCACCACCTCATGTGTGCTGTTCGTTTTTTTGCAATTGACATTGGAACATCATGAAAACCTGCTCTTGGGTGTCCAAGATCTTTCTGCGCCAAATTCCACCAGACCCAACGTGCGTCACTGGGCACCGGCGACCGCCGCTCACGGCGTCGGCTCCGCGTCAGCGACGGCCTGACGCGCGGGGAAGCTGGGGAGGTGCCAGGTGGACGAATGCGTCGTGTGCTGCGCGGCATGCGTGAACGCCGGTGGGTTGCGCGGTGGGCACTAAGGAGGGAAGAAGCATGGGATTTGAACCACTGGGTGCTTCCGAATGAATAATGTAGCACAAACATGGTCGTGACGCTCAGCTTGATCACACAGAGGTAAAGAGTCAATAGACAAGAACTAAACTCCAGTCCAGGGAGTCCAATATATTTTGGGTCTATCCTATTACGTGTAACAGTGGATTTTTT